TATCCAGATGGCCCATTTGACACCTCATTACTTCATCTATATGGAAACCATGCTGCTAGACATGTCTGGGAAAAAGAGGAATGTTATTTATTTACCTTTGCATTACATTTTAAACTAATTTAATTGCGACTTTTGGTTATTATAACTTTTTTTACAACAACGTCCATGTGTTAAAATCTGTAAACCACATAAGAAAGATATTGGATTTGGAGTAACTCGACACTTACTGGTTCAAGAATGTTATTGAAGGTGAGATAATACTTAGAAGGGGGGGGGGTTGAATAAGTATGGAAAATTATGACTTGAAAATAATCACACAATTATTTTTATCCTGGTTCGTTTAACAACTACTCCAGTCCACCCTTCCTAGAGTGATTTGCCTTTCTCAACAAGGACTTAATCCACTATTAAATCAAACTGATTACAATAGTATCACCTAAGAACAACAATTCTTAGTCTTCTCAAGAGCTACTGATTCCAACTGAATCCTCTTAAGGAATATCCTTTACAATCAATGTAAATTAAAAACAAGAGTTTTAATGCTTCTATAAAGCTTTTATCACAACAGTGATTTTTCTCTTAAGTTTAAGTACAATGAGATTCTAAGAAGAATAAGAATGAGAGCTTTAGAATATATTGATTTCTTTTCAGCAAAGTGTGTAACTGAAGAATGTGGTGAAGATCTCTTTTTATAGGCAGCTGAACCATGCAAGCTGAACGTTGAAAAGAGAGTCCCAAAAGGTCTGAGCCTTTTTGTCTTCACATCAACTGACCTTTCCTAGAAGTAGATGGCACAGAAAAATCCTTTTTGTCTGTGTAAGTGTGTCTAGCACAAATAAGGAAAGAGACGTTGAATAGCTCCAATGGATATATTCTTGAAAATTACTTCTTCAGTTTTCAGCAAGTTCTTTAGAGTCTGAATGGATCAGAGTCTTCTAATGAGATTCAGAACAATGCTGTATCAGAGTCTTCTGCAGCGTGTGTGCTTCTAGCGTGTTGATCATCAGAGCATTTTTGACACAGAACTTCAGTACTTGGCAGCGTAGGTACTTTCAGAATCTTCTGTAGATAAATGCTTTGAGAAACTCTTCAATCAATATTCTTCTATGCTTCAGATGCTTCAGCTTCAGATGCTTCTGATTATCTTCAGATGCTTCTGACTTAGAATGTTCTGGAGCTTCTTGCTTCAGATCCTTCTGGAGACTACGCTCAGGATCTTCTGTAAGGAGCAAACAGATTCTTCTGTAAGGTGCATCTGGCGCTTCAGAGTCAGAATAACTTCTTGTATTCAAGGCAGATTTGCTTCTAGAGAGTTAATATTATTTCAATCTGCAGTAACACTCTCAAACAAATTTTAGAGTATATAATTCTTAAATATAAATTTCCTAACAGTTATCATCAAAACAAAGAGTTATTATTAAGAACCAATCTGTGTTCTAACAGTTATCTGCTACTTCGGTCTTGTCGATTTATGTGCTACTGCGTACACTACCATAAACCATGACATGCAAGCGACGTTTGTAGAGAGATGACATGCAAAGTCGTCATATTTCCACCTTTCTATTGGCAAGATGACCATCACCCTGGATGACGTCTCATGCCTCATGCATTTTTCCATCGGGGAAACATTACTAGACCACAATAGGCTCAATCGATAGGAAGTCAGTGAGATGCTGGTTACATATTTACAGATTGATCCAACTGAGGTTGCAAATGACATAGCTGACACCAAAGGTGTTCATGCTAGATTTAAATTCTTGGAAGAACTGTATAAAGACCACATGAAAATGGTTGTGGATGTCAACAGTGATGATATGCAGGTTAAGTACCACCGACAGTGTGCATTGAGGTGTCACCTCTTGTTCCTAGTTGACATGTCCATGTTTTGGACAAAAGGTCAATCTACGTTGATGCGATCTACCTTAGATACTTCACTGACGTGGCGGCGATTCACGAGTACAACTAGAGGCCCATCTGTTTGGTCTATTTGTACTCAAAGTTGAGGAGGATTGCCTTGAAAAGCAAACCAGATGACATGAAATTCCATGCTTTTCATAATATTATGTTACACTTATTACTAAATAATGTATCTTCAGACAGATGAATAACGTTTTCGAGTTTTCGGAAGCATGGGACACACTCTATTAAGTGGAAAGAGCATTCTTTTAGGATAAATAATAATGAATTTAAGATAAATTGAAGTTTGATCTATTGTATCTTTGGCGATCCAAAACCCATGTTAGATAAATTATATTTTTTTATATAATATAAAAATAACTAATTATGGCATATTTGATAGAAGTACGTGTTTAAAAACTTTAAAAATCAAGTCAAAATAATGCAGAAGCAATAAATTGAAACTTTACATAATCACACCAACGTTTGTATTGAAACATGACATTGGCGTTGAAAAGCTAATCCAAACATATGCAAGTTTAATAAAATTAAATTGAATTTGACAAATTTGAGTTAGAGAGAATTAAGTTTGGTTAAAAGTGAGTTTAACATGAATTTATTTATGCTAAAATGTACGTAAATAAACCTGATTTTTTGTATGAATTGATAGTTTTTGGGTAATTTGAATATTTTGAATTGAAATTGATTTTAATTGAATATTGGCTAAATTAATTTTTTAATAATATTTAAATTATATATTTCATTTTGCCTCTAGATAATAGAATAAAATCAATAAAAAATTCTATTTTTAATCTCTAAAAAATATTTTGAAAAATGGAGATGAAATTATAAAATAAAAAATTAGAATAAATCATATATTACTTAAAAAAATAAGAAAGGTGATGTCTATTGCTACCCTCTCAATCATGTAAAAAAACAGAGGACTTTTCATTGAAATAAAAAACAGAGCACTATTCATTGAAAAAAAACAGATCTAGCACGGAGCCAACTCGGTGAGCGAGTGACCGACTCGCCGTGAAACCAACTGAAATACCACCGGAAGGAATCGATTTCTTCCCGAAAATCTTCCACTCGTTGTTCTCTTCTTCGGCTTCTTCCTCTTAGCAACAACATTCATGTTTTTCAACCATGACATGACATACAGCTATAATTACACCACTCTATGCAACACAAACCCTAATCCCAAATTGATTTAGTACAATCACGACTCAGATTCACTTTCCAGATTTAGTTTACATCTTCACAAGGTATTCATTCATCTTTCAGATTTCACACTAGATTCACATTACTGTTTGCAGCTTCTACCATTCACCATACTGCTTCTTGTTAATACTTCACTGTATGTTTGCTTCACGCATTTATAATAGATTCCGTTTTTGAATTATACATGTTTCTAAATTATGTGGCCAAAGGTTTCTTAAATTGTAATGCTATTTAACTTCATTTCGCTTATAAATGTCTTTTTTTTGACACAAAATGTGAGTTAGATGATAAAAGGATTGGTTTTGTACTTTTGTTTGATAGGTTTAACTCGCCACTTGCAGTGAACTACCCCTATAGAGCTTCCCTGGAAAGAGACGCATCTTTCACACGAGTGGCAATATTGCTAAGAAGAGATACGCGTTCAAGCGAGTCTGAATCAATCAAGCAAACAATAAACACAATCAAACAGATGTGTTCCTCACCGACGTCTTAAATCGGCACTCACAATTGAAAGGAATAAGAGAAATAGAATCAAGCAGATTAACAAGAGAAAGATTAATCATTGCTAAGTTCACCGGAGAACAGGTAACGCGCTATCGATTATTGAACTTCTATCGTCCCTGTTAATGAACTTATAAGAGTTAATAGTGTTTCGGATCAATTTTACCTTTTACACTACTTTTCTGCATTTGTCAAATATCTTTCATCTTATTTTAACTCATCCGAAGTTTTATTTACTACAACATAAAAATAGCTAATTATGACATGATTATAAGAAGTTGGTATTTTAAAAAAGTTTCTTGTTGTATACAAACATATAAATAAATGAACTGATAACTAATCTTACTATGAAAGTCAAGTTCTAAAAATTGTTGGTGTTGTTGGTGACATTATAAACGGTGATTCTTTGTTGAGAATTGATGATTAGCATTATTGTCACTATCCTTATAACAACACAAGCATTTGTTTCTTTTGTGGCATTATAATCTCTACCTTTTTAAAGATCTCTTAAACCCTCTAGAAATTGGCGGGGAAGCAACTGTACCGTTGTAATAGTGATTCTCTAGCTTCTCTTAGCCTTTGCAACATAAACCCTAATCCCAAATTGATTTGAGTGTTGAGACAATCACAATCATTCCTGACTCTTGCTTTTCACTCTCATTCTCGCTCGTGATAATCACATTCTTCCTGATTTTTTATTTTCATTCGGGATTCACACCTTCATTGTGTATTCACACCTTCACATATCACAACTACACGGTTCTTTGACTCTTGTGCTTGAGTCCTTCGCCATTCATGTTTCACACCTTCACATTTCGTGATTGAGTTAGTTCGTGATTCTTTCCTTCACATTCACAATTTACTTTTCAGATTTTGCTAGCATCTTCACACTACATGATTAAGAACTCTTAGGTATTCAGATTTCAGATTTCAAGTTATATTAATAACTTATCTTTCATTTTCAATCCATTTGATGTGAATTTGGTGATCTTCGTATACTGTTTGGTTTGCTAATTTTGCTCAAATTAGCAAATAGTAACTTCAGCTGATAGCATTCAGCAGATTGTTTCTTTGTAATAGTTTGGAGTTTCACATTTTACTTCATTATAATTTTGCCTCAGAGATTTATAATAGATTCAGTTTCCTGTATTATGTGGCATTAGGTTTCTTGAACTAAACACGTTTCTTGATAAACTATGCAGCCAAATGTTTCTTAAATAATTATATTTAACTCTATTTCATGCATGCTACATTATAGCAGTTCTACTTCGGATGCTCGTCACGCGAGTCAGAATCAATTAAACAGACAATAAACACAAACAAACAGATGCATTCCTCACCAAAGTTTTAAATCAACACTCATTATTTAATCCAATCCAATGGCATTTAACAGAACCTTAAAGGGGAAACCAAAGGCAGTGGGATCCAGAATTGTAGTGTTGGGCGCAACCGTGTGTGCAATTGCTCTTTTGTTCCTACTGTCCTCAGTTGTATTCACAACTGATTCCCCAAAATCCCAATACATTAAGTACTCTAGCTATGACAACAAGTACCTGTATTGGGGCACACGAATCGATTGCCCTGGAAAACACTGTGGATCCTGTGAGGGTTTGGGTCACCAAGAATCTAGCCTTAGGTGCGCCCTTGAAGAAGCTGCCTATCTCCGCAGGTATAACAACTTTTAAATTCATTTTTCTTCTTAATTACTTTCCTAGGGTTTGGTTCATAAGTTTTTGGAATTGCAGAACTTTTGTTATGCCGTCCAGGATGTGTATCAATCCTATACACAATAAGAAAGGGATCCTTCATCATTCAACTAATGCTACTTCGGAGGATCAGTAAGTTTCTTTTTTTCTTTCACAATTCAAATCATCATGATTTATGTTTATGAGTTTAATGGACATACCCGGTTAGTGTAAAACAGTTTTACACGGACAAACAACGAAAGGCCACCATTTCTCCATGTCATGCCACTAATTTCAAACTACCCACACAAAAGTGGGGTGATGTGGCAGACTAGTGAGTTTTCATTGAATTGCACTAACAGTACGAATCCTTTAAATCATATGGTTTTTTTGCATTGTAAAATATTTATTAGAGAAATAAGGATATGAACCATCAGTGCAAACTAGTTTCAGTGTAAACTAGTTTTACACTGATGTCCAATAAAAACAAAGTATGTGGTAGTTGTTTCTAAAAGACACGCATTTAGCTGGCCTTGTTTATCCATTACAGTTGGGCGGCAAGTTCTTGTGCCATGGACTCTTTATATGATGCAGAACTCATGTCGGAGACTGTCCCTGTAATTTTTGACAATTCAAAAGAATGGTATAAGGTTCTATCGACCAGCATGAAGCTCGGAGACAGAGGAGTTGCTCACGTGGCAGCAGTTAGTCGGGTCGAGCTTAAAGAAAACAATCAGTACTCTAACTTAATGCTCATAAACAGAACTGCTAGCCCTCTTTCTTGGTAGGTTTCATCTCTTCTTTTTTTCCCCTCTAAATGTCCATTCAAGTATGCTAAGATGCACCATTTTTATTTGATTATATTGAAAATTAAGGTTGATGATGCCTAGAATATAGTGGGGTATGTTGTTATTGGATTCTTAAATTGTGGGTGGCAAATTTCTGTGTGCAATTGGTGATACTTGAGGAGATGTAAATATGATAAAGGTCTTTGGCATTACAAGGAAAAAATTTCTGGTTTTGAATTTCCATTAAATCTGTCACCGTGAACTTCGCACTAATGTGCTTTTGACTTCACTCCACATTGGAACGTATTAACTATTAAGTTACCTATATTTTCTATTTAAAAGAATTCAATTTGAACTTGCAGTTCTAAAAGCTGGTATGTGATAGAGAGATTTGCATAAGCTATTAAATTTAAAATGGATGAACATGATATGGCTAATGTCTAATTATGAGTTCAATATATGCTTGATGTACTTGACTTCAAAGTTTTATTTGTATTATAACTCACAACTAGTTGAGGTGTGAATCGTGCCTTACAAACTGCCATAGTGGTGCTACTATGAAGATGATTGCTCATAACATAAAAAAATTGTTATATGCTACGAGCAGAGATTCTTCTGAATTTTGAGGTGCTAATAATGACTTTCCAGGTTTATGGAATGCAAGGACCGAAACAACCGTAGTGCTATAATGTTACCATATTCGTTTCTGCCCTCAATGGCCTCAAAAAAACTAAGAGAAGCCGCAGATAAGGTTAGCTTCATTCATAACCTTAGTTCTTAACATATACATGTAGAATCAATATAATTTTACATTGGATTTTAAATCTATTCCTTCGAGCACATAATTGTTCTACTGTTAATTTTTTTGCTTTCCTGTATTGGATTTGGAAGTAACTCTCCGTTCCTTTTTACTTGTCGCATTTGCAGAAAGTTTTTGCTCCTATTTACTCTTCGTACTCTTTGTTTTCAAAGATCAATGCAACATTAATTACTATTTTGTCAATATTACCTTTAGTTATTTATTGCCCAGAGAGAAATTGATGGAAAGAGATGATAAATTATTAAATGTAATGTAGGGAAAAATAAATAGTTATACCAATAGTAACAAAATGTATGAGTGTGATTCATTAGCTGCTGTTAACTTGGTTTATAAGGGACTGACTTGATTGCATCCCTGCTACCATATTGTCGTGACCATCCATGGTCAGATCAAATGGCAGTGGGTGACAAATTTTGTGAAAGGCAACATGCTTGAGGTCTGGATAGCTAATCCTGGCTAATAGTTTCGAGTTGGGATTGTACTTCCTAGCTTCTTGCTGGTAGCAAGTCTGTCTTGGCATTACTTTGTGGGAGCTTCCACCTATCATTTTGTTGCTTCCTTTTTGGCCTCCTGAGAATCTGATAGATATGGTAGGGTGTATGTGGGGAAGCAGGGAATCGGAGTGCATACTAGTAACTAACTAACTTGCTGAGGTGGCCAGGTGTGTGAGGTGTGATGAGAAAGAAAGTGGATCTAGATGAATAAAAGGGAATTCACATCCAGAATTACCTTAATTCTGTTTGTTATCATCAATATACAGTGATTCTCACACTTTCTGTTCTGATTTCTTACTTGCATTGATAGTTGAGATAGAATCAAATCAATTACCAAAAGGAGAAAAACTTAGAGCATATTTGAAGAAAATTCGGAAGCACCAACACTTATAACTGAAGGCATGTCTGGTGTCCAAGACATGTTAGTGCCTGACACTGACACATGTAATTAAATTCAATTATGTAATTTTCTCAAATTATTACCTCTATCAACATGTCGGGATCTATGTGATAGAGACCATAAGGAAAAAGTAAGTATTATGTAATAATGAGCGTGATAAGGATATATGATATATAAAGAGTGCGTTAAGATTCTTAGTTGGCATGTTAGTTATGCCTTAATAATATAATTGGTGATGTTAGTGAATTGTATGTATTACATTAGAATATTGAAAAAAACCATTATGGTTAGGCAGAGGGAGTTATCTCCTCTGAGGAGTCTTGCTCTGGGGTAGATTGGAATTTATTCCTTTCTATATTGTTCTCTTTTTTCATCTATTGAATAGTTTACATTGTTGATATATTTTCTTTACTTAATTTCTTACTAATGGATTTTAGAGTTCCATCACTATGCTCCATAGAAATTTATCTTTTTATCCAATAGATGACTCTGCTCTAATTATCCTGCACTTTTCGGAACTTCAAATGTTGATTATAATATGCTTGACATGTCAAAATTGTGGCATTACAATTGAACAATCTCTCTTTGTTACACACTGAATTTTCTGAATAAACATTTGCTCACAGATCAAAGCACTACTTGGTGATTATGATGCAATCCATGTTCGTCGTGGGGATAAAATAAAAACCAGGAAGGACAGGTTTGGCGTGTCGAGGACCCTGCATCCACACCTTGATAGGGATACCCGCCCTGAGTTTATTCGTTGTAGAATAGCAAAGTGGGTTACCCCTGGAAGAACCTTATTTATTGCTTCAAATGAAAGGACTCCAGGATTTTTTTCACCGCTTTCTGTCAGGTAACTGTTTTCTTGTTCATATCAAGGGGGAGGAGAGGGTTCCTAGAAATATACAGTGATTTTCTTCGAAAGCACAAAGCATGTTCAGTATATGACAGTAATAGAAACATCTGTGTTTAATTTTTTATGAATTGATTTTGTTTATCAATAAATGTAGCATGTGAATATTCATTTCACTGCATCCTTGTTGAACTCAAGACAACCCCATGCATTTTTAATTTACAATCTTATTCTCTCTGCTAGTTTTATTTTATAATGTCCTTTATCTGTTTTATGTTGGATAATTTATGGTTTGCGATTAGATTTTACGGCTAATGGTCACTTGATCATATCTAACCGTTTTCTTAATAGAAATTGTGTATCTGACACTGCTATGATTTAGTTTTTGAAGGGAACTTTTGGCTGACATCTGACTTTATGCTCTTGTGATTCAAATTTGCAGGTATAGATTGGCATATTCATCAAACTATAGCCATATAATAGATCCAGTGATTGAGAATAACTACCAATTATTCATGATAGAGAGGCTTATATTGACGGGTGCTAAAAGGTTCATAAAAACATTCAAGGAAGATGAGACAGATCTTAGCCTTTCTGATGACCCAAAAAAGAATACTAAAAAATGGCAGATACCTGTTTACGATGGGGATGATACTTGTTGAGACATACATGCGCCTACTAATAGTATGCTCACATGATATTGAAAAGAACTTTCTATGGCCAAAATCCCTAGGAAGAAATTTTTGTTGAGGGAAAAATGAGAGTGACTAATTTGTGTTGTAAATTGTGATGTTAGCTAGAGGAAAATTTTAATTTGTTCATTACATGTATGCACTTGTCTCACTGTAAAGCAGAAGTGAAGTAGTGACCACTAAATTTAATATTTTAGCTACTAGTTTATATGTACGGTCTTGTTCCAAACACTGGCTTTATATATGCGCACTTCCATCCTATGCAGCACTTACAATGGTTTATAATATATATAATACAGTTGATAGTAGCATTTAGAAACAATCAGAATGTGAGAAGAAAGTCAAATCAGAAACACAAATAGAATAGATAAGAGGGTGAATGGTAGACATCTGATGGAAAGAACGTGTCAAAGTACTCTTTCATCCTATACACAATGAAGGTTGTTTGGGCAATTTCTAGAAGTCTGGTTGCGTGCATTGTGAAGTGGTGCTGAGTTGCGTGCATTTATGGGTTGCGAGCATGTGCTGCTATGGAAGATGGTTCTGAGATGAAAGACATGATGATTTCAAAAGTTTGTGGTTTTTGTCATCTGCCGAGGAACACAGGCAGATGATGTAGCAATTCTTTAAAGGTTAGGTCTTTATTGAAAAAAATGGAGACTTTTTATCCATGATTTCTCTGTAACAACTAAGCTCTCATTACAGTTCCAAATTAACACATTCTTAAGTTTTGCTCTCATTACAATTTTAAACTTGATACATTCTTAAGTTAAGCTCGAGATTTCATGTTAAGTTGGAAGACAATTGTACATCTCCAAGATATTGTATTAACACTAAATTTTTGCATATATTTTTGTTCATTGTCTGTGTAACCTTCCGGACTTGAAATTTTGTTAATTTATTCAAATAAAATGAGAAAAGTGAATTTTAAATTTGAACCAAATAAAGTTATATTCAAACTAATAATACTAATTAAGTTATCATGAATTCTTTATTAGATAAAAGTAGTTAATTGTTAGATAACAATTTAAAGAATTTTTCTTAGAAATATATATATTACATTAAGTCCAGATTTTGGTCATATAATAAGCATTTTCAGTCAATAATCACATGATAACGTTAATAATATATGGCAAAGTATTAAAAATATTGAACTAAATTGTAGGGCTTTACCCAAAAGAGGGAGCCCTTCCAGAAATTCTCAAAGGCCTAAGCAAAGCCCAGGCCCAAGAGGGGGTTTGGAAATAGTTTTCAACCAGCAATAGACGCGCCTCGGTTAGTACCTCACTAGCTGCGTCATTGCCCCAAGCGCAAAGATACTTTCACCAAATATCACTGCTTCAATTTATATACACTCTATTGCGAGCATATGCTTCTAATGAGCGGTGTGGGACTCCCACTTGAATAATACTCACAAATCTCAAAAACACAATACTTTATAAACAAATTACAGCAACATATTATAAATCATAATTTGACATATAAATTATAAACTCAAAGATTCAGTTAAAATTCTTCTGATAAGAAAGAATCAGCAACCAAAAATGAACTAAAAGCTAAAAACTCTGCTTCATCATAGTAACTTTCCAGAATGATTTGGGAATTCAAGCTCAAGTTTAACATGATAAATCAAACCATCATCGCTTGTTTTTTCATCTCTTTGACTAAAAACAGCAACACCATGAGCAAATGCAAACGAACCTGTTCCTCCTACAACCTTAAACTCTTCTCTATCCTTATCTTTCACTGCTTCCACACTCAAGCTACCATAATGATCCGGTGCATCAAAAGTCAGATACAAAACATTGAATTCAGATTGTTGAAACCGTTCCACGGGAATTATGAAACCTTGTGCTTTTCCTACAACCTTTGAAGTGTTCTCCGGACCCTCGGTAAGTATGCGGTGAAAGACGAATGCACCGGCTTCTTCCCTTGGAACAGCATGTGTATTTGAGATTGTCATGTTTTGAGGTTGTTGAATGTAAAGAGATAGATCAAGCCATGGTTTTGAATGGATCTTGTTATGTGAAACAGGTGATACTAGAGCCAAAACAATTACTGTTATTGTTGCTAATGTCACTGCACTGCAGAATATGATCCTAGACAACATTATGTAATGTTTTTTTTTTTTTAAGATTTGTGTTCTTTCAACTTACTACATTTTATCATGGTTAAATCAAAAGTTGTTAGCAACCTAATCCATTTTGCATATTTCATTACCTAAACCATTAAAATTTGAACATTTTTTTAAATATCATGAACTAAGATAACAACTAGAACACCAACTTGAATTAAAAAACATTATATTTAAAATTGGTGTCAATCGATTACGTAGGACTCTGAAATTGGCAGTGCTGATTTTCAATATGGTGATGCGAGATAAATATGCAAGATCAACACTTCAACGCTCAAATCAGTTATAATATCTAAAATGTGTATGATTGGACCCTTGGATTGGGACTTTTGTGGGCCCAAACACTTTATAATTGGACAATTTCTTAGTCACTATCATCATGTACCAATTGCATGTTCTAAGTTCTTGTCTAAATCTAAAGTACTATATGAAAGAACAAGTCAATATCAAATTTGAATGCAATTTGAATGCAAATAGTGTTTATATAGGGGAAAGATTCTTACAACAAAGTGATGTGATTTAGACCCACAAAATGGGCACAACAAGCATTGTACTTATGCAGTTTTACTTTTTTTAAACACTTGAAGGACAATGCATAATAAGATTGACATTGAAAGCACAACTATTTGAAGTATCAAAGGTCATAAAGTAACAACAATTGGGTGAATTGAAACAAGTGTTGATTGGTAAGTACATAAAAACGTGCAGTTAATAACATTGAAGTACCAGTTATTGTTTTAATAATGATTATATTTTATCATCATTGTTTTAATAAGGCTACTTTACATGGTTGATTATTTAGATATTGTGTCATATTTGATATATTAAGACTTAAATTTTGAAGTTGTATCGTTATTTATATAATAAAACAAGTTAAAACAAAATATATAAAAACTATGCCACTTCATGAAATTTATACCGACACAAAAGTTTCAAAGTGAAAAATCTTTAATTTCTAAGTAGTTTAAAAATTAAATAAATCCAAGAAAACTGTTATAAATGTTGGCTTAAAGTAAAGAGAAAATGTGTTGGGATTCACTTGCTATTTATCTTCCAAAATAATCCAAAATTCATTTATTCTAAATACCTTATCTTGAAATTGATGTTGATTTTATCAACAAATAGAAGTTCTTAGCCTAAAGTAATAGTTTTAAATTAGTCAATCAAACACCATGTTGATCTTATTCTCATACCCTTATAGGAGAACGGTCAGTGTCAACCATTCCAGTTAGATACTAGATCTAAAAATTGGATATCTTTGGAGGAATAGCAACCTTGTATTATTATTATAAAATTAGGGAATTTGTGAATGCACGTATTATTTGGATATTACGTGAAAATATAAAAATATTTTTAAATTCTGAAGATATATTTTCGAACATATTTTAAGTTAATAGAATTTTGATTTAATGTGAAAAATACGGAGATACATCTTCGTGTATATTACAGAGATACATTTTCGAACGTTATTTGTTCTAAAACGCGCAAGAACCTCTTCTCCTTCCTCACTTATAAAAGAATAACTATAAACATTTCTCAAACTCTCTGAACTCACATTCTCTCAAAATCAATCAATCAAATTCAAAACTTCTTCCATCAATATCAAGTACATTAAAAAATTCATTCAACACTGAGTAAACTCAGAATTTGTAAGTTTTTTATTTTTGTAAAAAACAATTTCTTTCCGTTTTTGTATAAATGTGTAGAAATTGATTATTATGTATTGAAATACATCGTTTATGTATGATATTTAAAAGTAATGATCAATGCATTATTTTTAGGGGTTTGGTGGTCTGCATTAGCGCCATTAATGAAGAAGAAAGTTGTAGAAAATTTCGGAGATGCATCTCTGTTATTTTTCAACGTTTGGATTCCTAGGAACCGAAGATGCATCTCCGTAATTTATCTGTCAACTCTATTTTTAATTTTATTTTTTTGCTTTTCTTGCCTGTATGGTTGCTTGTAGTAATTGCGTGACACCTATCTAGTTTACTAACAAGCATTATGACTTATAGAGAAAACATATTGAGACATAGGAGGATTGCAGAACATGTATCTATCAGGAGGGAAAAAGTCAGGTTTTTTAGGCTCTTATTCCCTCTAGCATAGTTCATGCGGAGGCGTCGACTTATGAGGCTCATATATCTCCACCTTCTTCCCGTAGGAGACGGGTGTCACCTAGTGACGCATCACTGCCTCCATCTTCCCGTAGACGCTAGAGGTACTCGAGTCCATGAAGGTACCTGAGGCACCAATGCCACCCCAAGCACCGGAGGAACCTCTGACTGATGAGCCATTGTCACCTCAGGTATTTGGATGAGGCCCGTTAGAGTTATCATTCTTGCCTATTTACTCGGACCACACTGCCAGACATATCTGGGACGGGGAGGTAAAATTAGTTTGATTCATTCTTTTTAAATTATGTTTATTATTATATTACAAGTTTTTGACGATGATTTATTTTTCGGTAGGACTGTGATCCGCTAAAATTCGTTAACCTTGAGACAAAGATTACTGGCTTGAATCAGCCTAATGGCGAGTGGTTTTAGGTTGTTTTGTCCTTATCTGAAATGAAGAGCTTATGCAAGACCGGTTATGTTACAGTGAACCACATGACGCTTAGTACATTTGTGGAGAGATGACACTCACAAACCTCATTATTTCATATAACACTTGGTGAGATGTCTATCACAGCCGACGATGTATCGTGTCTGCTGCATCTTCTAATTAGGGAAAAAAATTAGATCATGAGAGGATTAGTAAATACGAGACACTCGAGTTGATGGTATATTATTTGAGAGTTAACATAGAGGTTGCCTTAAGGGAGATGGAAAACACCAGAGGAGCTCATGCTAGGTTTTTTTTTATCATTAGTATTATTATTATTTTATTAACCTTATTGTTCTTATTATTAGTATAGTATTGCTAGTATTGGTTCATTACTAGTACCATTTTCTTATTATTAGTATTAACTATTATTGTTTTTGTTTTGACCATATATCATTATTATTTGCATTATTATTGTTATTGTTATTACTCTTATTATTTCTGTTACTTTTCAAGTCACACTTAAGACACAATAGATATTCCAAACTCTAAATCAAATCTTCAAAGCTTGCCAAAACCAATACAATCAAAGTAAAGAAGTTTTCTATTTTACTTAACCTCTTAATCCTACCTGACCATCATATGAGACCAAAACCAAATAGAAGATGCACACAAAAATCAAAATTTTCATTCGTACCTGATTCCAAATCTGTCCTAAATATATAATCAATCTCAATCAAAGCCAAATAAAAGCAAATCAGCAACAATAACATCAACTTAAATTAAATCTCAACCTTCCCTAATTGAATCATGGCATTGAATTGAGGAAATTAAAATCTATATTATAAAATAGGATCAAGAATAGAGGAAAATAGACGAATCCGGGAAACCACAAACCATACAGACCAAATTCACCATAGCCAATTTCAATCAAACAAAAAATATAAAGAATCACAACACAAGCATAAGCAGCTGAAGAAATATCCCATTACAATCGCACGCCCGACTCCTCCGCATGACACCTTCTGACGCACACAGAATTGAGAAACCACTGTGACCTCCCTCACCACCAGAGACGGGACTGATGGACTACAAGCGCCGCTGAAGCACGTCGCACCCCTTCGCCTCCACGCACATCCATATAAAGACCCTTCCACCGAAAATCGCTGTTTGTCGCTCCGCCGCAATCATGACTGTGAGTGTCGAATTGGTAGATATCCACTTTGTTTTCCCTTTCTGATTTCATATGATTGTGTTATTTTGCTTTGGTTTTACAAAAAAACTTAATTAAAATGTGTCATACCCCAAAATTTACCCCCTAGATTCCATCATTGTTAGTTGCATCATTTGCATAACATCAAGAAGACCTTTTGGTTGATCAATCAAAGTTTGGAAAGTTCATCAACATCTCAACTATTCTCATTCATGGATCAAGAATTTCTCTCCATTAACAATCAAGTTTAAGGAGGGATTAAATCAAGATCATTAAGTATAAATTTCTTAAATGCACCAAATTAGTTTTTTGGTCAAAAGTCAACTGGATATTGAATTTTCAACCAAGACATGATCTCAGGCTTAGGAACACGATTCAAGATCTTTGAAGTCCACTCACATGATCTAATTAGCTCAAGAAGTTTGATTCATTGGCAATTGCAAGATTGGAATTCATCTGATACAAAGTCAACAATTGATCAAAGTCAAAGTTTTACTTTTGACTTTTTTGGTCAAACATGACTTCCTCAAGTCAATGATCGTGAAAATATGTAAAACAATTGAGTTGGATCATGATTAATCAAGAAAATTAAGAAAGAGAATCAAAGTTGTAAATTAGGGTTTTGATATTTTTTTTAAGTTATGGAAATGCATGAACAAGTGACCTACTTTCCAAGATCACAACTTTTTCCTCAAGCATCCAATGAAAACACTTGAGGGCTCCTCTTAAAGGTGTCATTTGATACTTAAATTTGATGAAAATTAAAATCCTAAAGCTTTCTTGAAGTGGAATTTATTAATGTTCAAAGTTGGAATTTCAAGTTTTTCACCTTATCAAGTGCATGACTTTAGGATCACTTTGTGATCAATTCAAGCAACCATTTTTCATGCCCAAGGGATGTACTTAAAGATAACATTACATAATTCAACAATATGGAAGAATTGGATCAAAAGCTCACAAGGATTTGAAATTATGAATGATCAAAGTTGAGATTTCAAAATTATGGAAATTGCCAAATACTCAGAATTTTTCTAAGTGTCAAACAGGTGAAAGATTCAATTTTGATGGCCAGTTTTCTCCATGATGAAAGTTGAATTTCCTCAAGTGATCAACATGAAAGTTGTAGTATATTATGTCTTCTTTCCAATGGTACCAAGAGCATAAATTTCTTTTGCTCGAGCATGAAGTTCTGAAGAGGAGAAGTAGCCATGGCATA